TGTGTGTGTCTGTGTGTGTTGCAGATTGATGAAGAGGTAGCCAAACTGCTGGAGCTGAAGGCTCAGTTAGGAGGAGATGATGGCAAAAATCAGTTTGTCCTCAAGACAGCAAAGGTAAGACCACACACCCTCATGTATTTACGGTTGGAATGGAAAATAAAAGGAGTCTGTTACTGTGTTGATATACGATTTGTATCTGGATAAGGGTAAATAAGTAATGTTAATGCAGGTATAAAGTGAGGCTGGCACTGGGATCTGATTACACTTCCATTTCATTTACTGGTCTAAATGACGTGTTGTTAGAAAAAGTCTACCCAGCACTTTGAACGGTCATCTAACTTCACGTCTTCCTGCTATCTCAACCTGCCTCTTATAAAGCTGACAGCAGGAGTAGCCTTGTGGTGAAGGTGCATACCATACTCCAGGGTTGGGCCATATGTTAAAACTTCCAATCGATACATTCGTGCATGTGTGTGTGCGCTCCACCAGAATGTTACTATGAACATTGGAATACATTTGGACGGATCTGTTTTGATCCGGTGTCATGATGAATCTTAATGTTGATGTGGAACACTGGTTAACAAGAACATTTTAAAAGGGCATTCCTTTTGAATAGGTTGCTGACCCTTTCTATATACTGTGATTGCAATATGTAACACCTCTGTTAAAGCCAATCTCCCTCCAAAATCTGACATTGCGTTGCCTTACTGAATCTTTTTGTTGAACTGAGTGCCTGTACTGAGTGCTAGCTAGGCAACACTGGCAACTTACAATAGCTTCGCCGTAGTGGTCCTTTGAGAGTCACCCTTGACCTGGAATACTTATCAGTACCAGTTGAAATGTGAAAACACCTTTTAAAAAATCTTCATCTTCAGTTAACATGAAAAATGACAAACAGTAACTGACACCAGGCAATGTTATCTTTTTTTATTTATTTATTAATATTTTTTTACATTTTGAAACAAATCAAAAGTCTGGGTAGAATTCCTTGACAGTCAGTCTGCAACACAGCAAATGTCTTCCTGTGTCAGGGAACGAGGGACTACAACCCCAAGCAGATGGCCATCAGAGAGAAAGTCTTCAACACCATCATCGGCTGCTTCAAACGCCACGGAGCCGAGACCATCGACACGCCTGTTTTTGAACTAAAGGTAGATTTTCACACCAACTGTAACACACAAATGTAACTCGAGATCATCTCACATTCTAACATGTAGGTTTGTTATCTCTCTGTGGTGTGTAGGAAACACTGACAGGGAAGTATGGAGAAGATTCCAAGCTCATCTACGACCTCAAAGACCAAGGAGGAGAGCTGCTGTCCCTCAGATATGACCTCACTGTATCCTTCAAATACTCACAACCATGAGCGCCTAATTTTGATACTTTTACTCATTTGACAAAAATGTTTACTACTGCTACTATTTCTTTTTGGCTAGTTTTAGTCAGTGAAATTTTAGTCCCATTTTTGTCAAGTATTTTAAATTCTATGGCTTTTTAGCCTTTTGAGACTCTAGTTGTCGACATCTTTGTTGTGTACAGTTACCATGGTTACATGGACAGTGTTTCATTGTCAATCACAAGGTCAGTGAAAAAGGCTCTGATTAATTGTTCACACACATAGGCCTTTTCCAACAACAGTGACCCGACTCCGTTCCTGTTCAAGTCCCTAGTTTGGTACCATTCGGAGCATTTTGGCCAAAAGTAAACTGGTTCTGAACCTGAACAATTGTTCCCAACTGGAACCAAAAAATATCAGGAGTTCTTTAGGGACCAAAGTGGGCATGTCATATTCTACAAGCCCTCTGTTGATGATGCATTTGATTACTAGGGTTCCACTCAAAACTGGTGGAAATGTGGGCTGGTTGGCTGGATAGGCCCAAGGTTCCAAGTATCTTGAACAGAACCGGTTCAAGAACCAGATCTAATTTGGTGTAAAAGGGGCCAGAGAAATCAATTTATCATCATAAACTCTGAACCGCTGTTGTTGTTGTGATGTTTTGGTGTGCGGAGGAACCCGTGTGTTTCCTCGTCGTTGAATAAGAGCTTTTATTAAAACGGTAATGTTAATTTTTTCGTCACATTATCATTTAGGTTTAGGTTTCAAAGTTTCATTGTCATTTAGTTTCAGTCCCGTTTATGTCATTAAATCGGTCGTTAACCTCATAGTTTTCATTGATGAAATGAACATTGCTGCATTAACCCTCACATTTGGATTCCCTCTATCAGAGCAAAGAGTGGTGTGTATTCCTTGACCTGCCCTCTTTCAGGTGCCCTTTGCCCGCTACCTGGCCATGAACAAAATAACCAACATCAAGCGCTACCACATTGCTAAGGTCTACCGCCGTGATAACCCAGCCATGACCCGTGGACGCTACCGAGAGTTTTACCAGTGTGTGAGTCATCAATTACATTCACTCCTGCCAGGGATCAAGTTCTTTGTTACATCTCTTGGAAACAGACCTGGTTTAATTCACTTTAAAGTCCCTTTGGCTGGGACATAGTGTGCGCTAAATTGAGTGTGTGTGTGGGTGTTTCAGGATTTCGACATAGCAGGGCAATATGACGCCATGATTCCAGATGCCGAGTGTCTGAAGATCGTCCATGAAATCCTCAGTGAGCTGGACCTCGGAGACTTCCGTATCAAAGTTTGTCACACGCATTAACGTACAGATGAAACTGGCAGACTTTGATCGACGGATGTCACCTCTATAACCACGTCCTCCGTTTCCAGGTCAACGACAGACGCATCCTCGATGGCATGTTCGCTGTGTGTGGCGTTCCAGATGACAAGTTCCGCACCATCTGTTCAACAGTGGACAAACTGGACAAGGTATAGAGACTCAGTACAGTGTACATACAGAGCTTTTCAGCGTATGGTTGATGGCTCCTTGAAAGTCAAATATTGGTTCTTAATTGTCAGAATGCTGTACTGTTTACCTACACAACTTCTGTCTTGTAAGCTCGCTGTGGAGTCTTAGAAGTTGTGGTTTGCACATTACATGACTGTCAGCATCAGGGGGTCACACACTATAAGATCTTTGACCGAGTAATCCCAGAGTCTAACTGCTCTCGAAACTACATTTCATCAGGAGTTCACCAATGTCGGGGCGCGGAAAAATCAGGACTAAAATAATGTGGTGTGTACTCTGCATAAACCGTCAAAGACAATGGTTGTGGTTAGTCTGATGCTGACCCCTTTCCACATTCTTCTGTTCTCTTTCACCTTCTCTCCATCATTCATCAATACCTGCCTCTGACCCTACTGTCCAAACCTAGTTGCCCTGGGAGGAGGTGAAGAAGGAGATGGTGAATGAGAAGGGCTTGTCAGAGGAGGCTGCCGACCAGATTGGGGAATACGTCAGTATGCAGGGTGAGACTTTCCCCAAATTCACACAAGATGTGAGACATCAAGATGGTGCTAGCTGAGCCCACACCAACTCCAGCCTCCGTTAACAACATCAATGCCCTCAGAACAGACTGTCCCCACAGCAGGCTGACAGAAACTGTCTGCTGATGAGTGGGGGAAAGTAGCACTTTCACTAAAGTACAGCTGTAACCTACTATTTTACCTACTTAATAGATCACAGAGGGACATACTGTTCTTTTTACTCCACCACATTTATCTGACAGCTATAGTTATTTTGGAGATTTAAGATTGTAATATGTATGTAAATTGAAAATAGACATCTCTCTATATAACATAAACTTCCCCTCATTTAGCGACAACATTAAAATGCTGCTTCCATGTTAATGAATCCATAACAATAATTTGATTTAGAGAGTTTGTACACTGCTATCCCCTACAACACTGGCCTAGCTGGTGAACATGCAGCATTTAGCACCTGAAGAGACAGATAGTTCCTTCAGGAGTTGGTGTAGACCAAAAACAGCTAGAAAAAAGTGAATATTGGACTTCCATTCATCAACTCCAAATGAATGTGGATTGCTACTGTTTCTGTTGTAGGTGGAATGGATTTAGCAGAGCGCCTCCTTCAGGACCAGAAAATGTCTCAGAGTAAGCAGGCCTGTGCCGGCCTGTCCGACATAAAGCTGCTCTTCAGTTACCTGCAGCTCTTCCAGGTCACAGACAAGGTGAGACATGCTGTTATTTACTTATCCCATAGTATTTCTTTTACAAAAATGATGTACACATACACGCACATTTACACTTTTTTTGTTTAATCATAGCTTTACTTTTTCTGGGTTATTGTTTTTCTTCTCTATCTTACTGGTAAATGTCTCTCTGTCTCTCTCACTCCGTCATCTCCAGGTGGTGTTTGACCTCAGTCTGGCCCGGGGTCTGGACTACTACACAGGAATCATTTACGAGGCGGTGCTGACTCAGGCAGGCGTGGCCTCGGTAACCACAGATGCCCAAAACGGGGCACCTTCGGAGGAAAGCGTCAGTGTGGGCAGCGTGGCCGGCGGCGGGCGATACGACGGCCTGGTGGGCATGTTTGACCCCAAGGGCAGGAAAGTGCCATGTGTGGGCGTCAGCATTGGCATCGAGAGGGTCTTCTCCATCATGGAGCAGAAAGCCGAGGTAATGCGTCAGTATTTGTCTGCCAATTATTCACTTATGTTTAATTGTGTTATATAGACATATTGGGTGAATGATAAGAACGTGTAGATGTCCAGGCTGTAACAGTGTTGTGTTGTTCAGGCCTCAGCACAGAAGGTTCGTACCACAGAGGTTCAGGTCATGGTGGTGTCTGCTCAGAAGAACCTGCTGGAGGAGAAACTCAAACTCATCACTGACCTCTGGAATGCTGGCATTAAGGTGTGTGTGTGTGTCTGTCTCTGTGTGTGTGTGTGTGTGTGTGTGTGTTTGTGTGTGTGGGGGCTTGTTTTCCTATATTCGTGGAGCCCTCTGAGCTTGTGGGGTCCAGCACAAAGGGCTGTTTGAGGGTTACTGTCAGAATTAGGTTAATTGTGGTGGTTAGGGTTAGGGGCTAGGGAATGCATTATGTCGTGTCCCCACAGATATGGGGACACAAGGATGTCTTTGACTTCCTGTTGCTATTGTCAGCTCCTATGCGGAATGGAAAGGTATGGAATTTGATTCTAGTCATTTCCAGGTCCAGGAAAAAGGAAAAAAAAGTGTGGAAAAATATTCCAGAATATTGCCACCATTATGATTTTTTAATATTGGCCCTTCCTCAGCGTGGACGTCTTACCTGAAACATCTGCATCTGTGTCGTCCTAATCTTTCTGATACTCTATCTCAGCATTGGACTGGCAAGCTTCAGGGTGATTTAGAACAGTGGAGGGTGTGTAGTGACATTTTCTACACACAAATGCAGATTTTCATAAATTTGGTAATCTCAATTTTGCCAGTTTTTTTTTTCCCCAAATAAATTGATCATACAAGCAGAGTGTTTTTTATGGAGTTTGAAGCCAAAATGTTAACCATTGTGTGAGAGTGAAAATAAGAGAAAATGTTTAGGAACCCTTTTCTTAAATGAGCAGGGAACCTGACATTACTCTTTGCAGTGGATAGGTTGAAGAAGGTATGTGATTTGGAAAGAACAGCCATATTTTTTATTTATTTTACAAATTTCACACTGAGTTTGGTTTGGGTCTGTGATTGTGTATCAATGTATTCCTATCTGTTTCTGTATCTGTTAACCTTTACGCACCTATTGGTTAGGCTATTAGTATGTCCTTTGTCTAATAGAATGATTTCTAACCGCTTCTTATTTGATCTTGTGTATCCAGGCAGAGGTGATGTACAAGAAGAACCCCAAACTGCTGAGTCAGCTGCAGCACTGTGAGGAGTCTGGGATCCCCCTGGTGGCCATACTGGGAGAACAGGAGCTAAAAGATGGAGTGGTCAAACTCCGTGTGGTGGCCACCAGAGAGGAGGTACAATTGATCCACGATACACACACTGTATCCCTGCTGGCACATGCATAGACACAGATCCAAAAAGAGCAGTTTTTTTTATTATAAGCAGAGGAACAGTCCCCTTCTTCTACAAGTGTGCAGAATTTAAGTCATAAAAACAGAACAATGCAAAACATAAAAGTAATAATAGTAAAAACAGGTTTATGGCAAGTATCAAAGTCACACAGACTAAATGTTCCCCTCTGGCTTCTGAACTGATAGTACAGAAAATATGCTCTATTGTAGTAGAGGACTTTCTCCCACACTGCACTTATACTGGCACTGGATTGTCCATTGGAAGACGCCACTAATGTTTACTTTAAGGTGTACATTCTGTTTACTTTAGCCCTGTATCACACTGCCTCCTTTTAGCCCTGTGTTCAGTTGATTTCAGGAGATAACCCCGCACACTTAGGGCCTTGGTCAATACATGTTTTGATAGTGGGGGAAACCTATGCAAACTCCACACAGGACAGCCTGAGATTTGATGGCAACAGTGTTAACTGAGTCACTGTTCCACCTGGAACTTGCATATGGACGAGGAATGGTTGATTTATGAAGTAAAAAGGAGGAGTTCTACAGGATACCTCCTCATTTAACAACAAAAACCTAAATCCATCAAAAAGAAAACATTCACATATGAACTCAACAACTTGTCAGATGTGTTGTCACATGTTGGAAATACTGCATTTGGTTTAGGCGAGTGGGAGGAGGAGGACTCATCCGTAATGATGTTGATTTCATTACAAACAGTCTCAAAATTCCCACAGAACTATAACTGCAATAGAGGGCGATGTGATTCCAGTCTGCTGCTCCTTCTGATGTTTTCACTTCATAGCTGATGAAGAAAGAAGGAGATTCAAGTGTGGGTGTATTGAGAAGTCCAGGGGAGGATGACCTGAGAAGAACGTTCCAGGACAACAGAAAATTGATTCTTGTTTAACATAGGAATGTCGTGGGCTCTGGCACTTGTCCAAACATGCATATGCAGTCATGATACTGTAACTGCCAGATATTGTCTAGTCAGGAGAATCACTGTCAGTACAAAGGTATAAATGGATGTGACCTGTTTGTTTAGGTTGAGTTGATCTTGAGCCAACTCGGTTTGCTTGTATCCTGTATTGAGGCAGATGAATCTAAACGTAGAGTGAAATTGTCCAATTCTCCAGTCCACGTTTCTTCACTGGGTTCCTTTTCTGTGGCAGTTTGTGGTCTCTCACTGTACTCGGATAGATGTAAAAATTCAACCACAATACCATGTGAGTTAAAAAAATGAGACTCATGGCAGATAGTCCAAACGATGAACTAGAGTGAAAAGCATTTTTAGTATTTTGAGTAGTTGTTTCCTTTCATTTATTACTTAAAGGCTACATGCCACTGTTGTTTGTAATGTTCAAATGTTTTTAAAAAAGGGATATATGTTCAAGCGCATTGGATTTATTACCATGGTTTCAAATAGGGTATTGAGAATAATGGAATTTCACTGGTATTGGTATGGACTGTCTGGTAGTGTGCCATCCCTATTACCAGCAAAGAAACCTTTAAATATTACATAACAACAGATGAGCATATTAATGGATTCAGTGTCAGATATAAGTTAGCCTGAGCTTAGTGTGAGAAGCCCTTTTTGAGTTCACTAACCCCACTGTCTCCTCTGTTTTCTGTTCACAGGTTGATATTTCCAGAGCAGATCTTATAGGTGAGATCAGAAGAAGGACCTCTGAGGCCTAGCCATTCCCTTCCTTCCAGCCACAACCTGTCACATCAACTGATTGCTTCAAACACTTACACTCTGCAGACTCTTGTATGGAATTCCTTCTGTGGGCCTCCATAGACCATGTTGGACATCATGCAGCCCTAAAAAACACATCCATCCTCACTGTCATATCAACCACATAGACTGGTTTTATGTTACACTCTTGCAAGTACCCAAAAGCAATGAAGCTAACTGGAAGTGTGTTTAACGTGATGTGCTTATTAAAAGGGAACATCAGAGAACACCATCCAGGAAACATGTTGCAGTTTACATGAAATGTAACCGTTTTGGATTATGTCTGAAAGACATGTACTTGCTGTCAGTGTCAACGTTGTATAGATCATTGATGTTTATCCAACAGGAGTTTAAGAAAGCTGCTCAGGATCAGTTTGGTCTTGATCAGATTCATTAGAAAACCCTGTTTACAGAGGAGTGTTCATTCAGAGCTTTGTCTGTCTTTCTACCTAAACCCTTCAGATCATTTCCTGCGGTTCAATTTAAAACTGAATAAAAGGGGGTCATTTCTACCTGTATCAAACACGCCTGTACTGTCAAGTATCTGAAATAAACATGTGCTCAATACTAAAAAACGTGTTGACTGTGATGTAGTAGTATGTATGTAGTTTGCATGCTTCATTTTGTATGAAGACGCTAGTTGGAGTGAATGGTTGGCCAAATGTTTCTCACTGACCTTCAGTGCTATTGAACCATGCAGACAGCTATTGGTTTGATTTTATTTCAAGATATCTAAAAGCTGCCGCAGGAAATTTTCATAAACCTATATTTTTCCATTAGGAGCATTGCTTGGCTAGGAACCTGATCTTTTCACAGATGTCTCATGTACTACTGTCAGGATATAGTGAACGTTTCAGCAAATATGAGTTATTTTCATAAAAGTTACCTACTGCAGCTTTAAAAACTGGGCAGCTAACATTGACATGACTTGAGCATTTAACTAAATGTGACTCCACTACCAAAGCATTACAATGATACAATGAAATCTTTGACTGGATTTCCTTTAATGGCCACAGTCCAAATGCATGATATCACAAAAGTTACACTAGTCATAAAGGGCTAGTTGGATGGAAGGCTTAAGGTTGATCTCTGTACTATGAGGCTGCTGTATTATGGGCGATTTACAATGCCTGGGATTGGAAATCGTGACAGTGAACATGATTTATGTTATAGTTATATATATATATACATACACTACCAGTCAA